TGTAACTGCCACCATCTTCGCTGTGACTGGGTCGGAAATCCTCCCCCAGCTGTTGTGGCGGTGCGGGTTGGTGGGACCAGCCTGTCAAGCAAACCACAGTTTCAAAAAACACGGTTTCCGGTCTGGCCTTTTATGAAGGCCAATAAAATAGTTAAATATTTCCACGTGTGATTAAAACAAGTGTCACTTTACATCGGCGGTCCCGAGAGGATACACAATGCAGTAGCTCTGATAGAGCGCGATAAGCTGTGCTTTGTTGGTTAAAGAAGAACCAAAGATGGGCAAAAGCATGGGATTCTGCCATTTAAACCCCACAATAAAAGCGACATAGTAAAAGGTAATAAATATAGGCTACAAATAAATTAGAAATATTAAAATATAACACATACAACGTCGATGACAACAACAAAAATAGCTCATGTTATTAGCTGACCGTTAATTTCCCAACTTTAGCTTAAGGTTAGCTATACCTGTTTAAAAACAATTTATTTCAATGTGTTATTGGTTTAAGTTTCAGACACAATGCTCATTTATCAACAGAAAAATAAAGAGTAACGTTATGTGAGCCAGAATTATGTAACATATGCTAAACATTAAATCAAACACTATATTTTGTTCAATGACGCTATATGACTAACGTTATAATTATATAATCACAAATATAGCTAATACAGTGTAGCTAAATGATATATTTACTGATACTGGCTGTATTTGGACATTATTGCATTTTTTAACAAAAGAATGATTCGGGCAGTTAATGACAGTTCATCTAAACGGCTATTTCAATACTAACTAATAGATAAGCTAATAGTAGTTGTTAATTTCTAACTCTGTGAGTTAACTAACGTTACATTAGTTAAGATAGGTAGCTGGTATGAATATCTCCATAGGAAGAAGGTAACGTTATAACTTGCTCGCTATATAATATGATAAATATGACCCTAAAAGTGAACTAAACTAACATGGCGTATTTAACAAACCAAGTACCAAAGTAAAACACCGACAGTTTAGCGCCTTTAATTTGAAGGCAGACTCTGAGCTCCGGTCTCTCCCCGGTTGTCTCTGTCTAACTCGACGGCTGGTGCTGGGTGGCTGTCCGGAGTGGAGCTCGGCTGCGTTCAAGTCACATGAGAATAACCGCCATAACAGTATCTACTTTTAAAGCCGCCACCACTGAGGATTTCTGTCCCTTTGTCGTTGCTACTGTTAATTATTATCACCCCCTTAACACTCAACTAGCACTACTAAGTCAACCAATTGTCCTTATAAATATTATTAATTACACTGCCAACCACAGGGTAGAAATAGATGTGTCCTGCCATGACAGTTAAATAGGTTCTTATGGTGTGTATATATTGTGTGTGTGTGTATGTCATATATAGTGTTGGAATTCACTTAAAAAAGACACATTTCAATTTGTAGCACCTTTATTTTTTAATATCTGGGGGTGTTTGTTACTGTATGTCATAGCATGGGAATAGTTTTGGACATTTCAATAATCCGAATATAGAAAATAAGGAGGTATGAAAAGAACTAGTCAGTTTGGCAAAAGTTAAAGCTCCAAGGCCAAGTCTATTGAAAAAGGATATACCATGAGGAAGAAAGGAGGATCATTTACTGTGCAGTGACCTATTACACAATAAGAGGGAAATTGTGTAGAGGAAAAACAAAAGTATTGTTAACTGTTGATTATTGAGGCATGTTGGCTATCAAATATCGAAGGTGGTCTGTGCTCCATTAGTTCCATTAACTGCTCAAGAGATTGAGACTAGGTAACAGTGTTATAGTGCTGATTCAGTGTGTTTGTGTGTGTGTGTGTGTGTGTGTGTGTGTGTACATGGCATGTTGGTGGCGTGTGCGTGTGTGCGTGCTTATGTTCTACAGCTTACAAGTGAAGCTTGTTTGTCGAGTTGATAAAGCTGCACTGATAAGTCTGTGTTAACATTGTGCCTAAAAACCTCTGCCTGTCAGCTCAGCAAACACTGATTATACACAGAATATAAGCTCAGATGCATATTTACATGTCTCGCATTTATTACGTGTGCACAGGTGTGTTCATGGCTTGTGAGTGTTGGTGTCATACTGGTGTGGTTGATGTGAACTTCTTACCTTTGGGTCAGCTGCAGGACAACTGCAGATTTTCTTCAAAGTATTTAAGAGAAGCACCAGTGAGGAATACAGTGACAAATAGGCTTAAATCCACTCATTTGAAATGGCGAGGGCTTCTTCTTAAATGTGTTCCACTTTTAAAAAGCCACGCTGCAATATTAGCATTTATTATTATTTTGTTGCTGTGCTTTCATCAGGGCTTTAGGTACGGCAGAGTCGGTTGGTTGTTTCATCACTTTGGGCCAACAGCTATCGGATGCATTTCCATAAAATCTAGTACAGACATTCATGGTGCCAAGAGGACGAAGCATAATTACTTTGATGATCTCCTGACCTTTCCTCTAGCGCCACCAGCAGGTAAAGGTTTTCCTTTATCCTGTAAAATATCTCCTCTACTCAGTGAATTGGCACAAAATTTGGTACACACATTCATGGTTCCCAGACTGACTCTGGTAAAGATCCACTGTGAAACATTTGTCAGAATCTACTGGCTAAAATGGAATATAATAGTATGTTTTCATTGAATGGCTGCGTTTTTGTTCATGCTATTTGTGCGTGTTGCACGTGTCATGGCCACCAAAGGTTCTCCCTTGCACTTGGAAAGGGAGGGTGAAGCGAGTGAATTGTAATCTGCAACACCTACACCTTTAAATTTCCAGTGTGTATAATTTAGGATCTATTGACTGATTAATGTATAATCACCTGAATATGATGGTTATGTTTTCGTCTTCCATAGAGATGACACTAAATTCTACACACTGACTCAGTAAGCACCACCATTAGTATTTGCCCAGTACTTTGTTTTATGTCCAGTTAACGTTCAGCCTCAGCTGCACTTTGGTTAAGTTCTAATTAGCAAATATTAGCTGAAACTAAAGTACCTTCTTAATATCAGCATGTTAGCATCCTGAACTTAGCATTTAGCTCAAACCAGGGCTGTAGACTCATCTTGTTGTGGTCCTTTTTTTCTGGTGTAGCTTCTGACTCAACTACAGGCTTTACATTTGGATTCCATGAGACCTTTATACATTACTTTGATGTAGTTTATTTTATTGTATTTTATTTTACTTCTTTAAACATTTGAAAATAAATCAGTCAAGTCACTAGTTGAATCTAGTATCAGTAAAAAATTACAGACTGTCCTATATACTATCCATAGACTACGGGCATACTGTGGCCTCCCAGGGCCTAAATGTCCCACTAAACTCTAAACTAAAAAGGTAAAAAGGACAATGATCCATCCATCTTTTATCTAGATAATTATCTAGACCCACTGAGGGGAAATTAATGAATGGAAAGAGACAGAATGTAAATATTTATGCTACTGTACGCTCCAGAAGAGGTTGTCAAACTGAAAGAGAAAATGTTTTAGCAGAATTTCTTAAATGTTGCTTCCAGTATATATTCACAATGTTTTTTAAAGCAAAATTTGTTTGAATTACCTGAGAAAGCAGTGAGGTTTGACCATTAACCTACCTATTTTATACAAACTTGACACCCAGACTGAATAGACATTTTGTTTCACTGTATTGATTCTGTTTGAAAAACCAAACAAATCTTAGATGTGGGCGGTGATTCAGAGGTCTGGATCCAAACTAACTGTACACCAGTGAACCTTCATTGCGCAAGGTTTTACATCAGCAGAAAAAAAGCTGTTTTAACTGTGAGAATCTGAAGGCTAAAATGAACAGGGCACTGGAAGAAATTGAGCATGGTTAAAGGAAATTAGAAACACAAACGCTACAACATGCACACACAGATGTAAACATTTTTTTAAAAAAGAAGTCGACACTGAGAGTCAAAAATATCATTGTCTGTCATGGTGATGTGTCACATTATGGTTATAATGTTGTGCTACTGTAGGTTTTTAAGTCATATTAAGTTTTATCATTCACTACAGACTGCTGCATGCAAATACAACTTTAGACATTTAAATGTACATTCATAAAAGGGCTACTTTGTTTTAGTATATATTGTAATCATGTGTCCAAGACAAAATCCTGTACATGTATTTTATCTGATACAAACCTGAGTGAGTCCTTGTCACAGTTGGGAGGGCTCTGCCACATTGCTGGGTATCTGACTGCTGTGGGAGTGTTTATGTTAGCACTATGAAACTAACTTCAGACAGACCACGGCTGTCAAAATACTCTTGGGTTTCACTCTCGTACATACACTCTTCTTGCCAAACAGACAATTAATTGCTTTGGATGAATTTAACTTAATAATACAGAGATTATAACAATATTTAATCATGTTAGAGACGTTCAGCAGGGAGACGTTTGAGATTAATTGTGTGCTATGTAATATGCTGTTTAAATGGGTTATCACTGACAGAACTCTTGGAGCAAAAGTGAGGTTTTCCTCATGTTTTTCTGGGAGGGAATGTCCTCCTGTTTTCTGCTTTTCCCTGTAATAAAATTCAACTCTGGCAGTTGACGTAAAGAAATAGTCTTTCTACCATAGACTCTGCTATCTTGTTAGTCTTATTAAGACATTGAATGGAGGCGCCTCCTGGTGGCTGTTTTCAGTCACTACAGTGGATAACCAACAGATATACCCCCCCCCCCCAGCATTATTATTTTATTGCTAATGGACTTTTGTGTTTTTTTGTGCTCATCCAGCTGTTACACATTTAATCAAGCTTCTCATTCATACAATGCTGATCAAATGAGACTTTAATATTTTATTCTGAAGGTGGCAGTTTGTCCGAAGCAGAGCTGTTTGTGTTGGGGATGAGAGCTGGTGCTTTCTGCTTGTGTTTGGCCTATATTTTCCTGCATTTTACTGCTAAACAACCAAATGATATGAATTATGTATTGTTTCGGTGGAAGATATTTCATCTGTGATGTATGTCTTTGTAGCCTTACAAAGGAAACCAGGCCTGCAGATTTTTTTTGTTTGTTTACTCAAAAGAAATCACTCAAAAGAATGACAATTACAAACAGGCCTAAAAGAACAAGGAAAAGATTACACTTTTAACGGAAATGCCCATGTGGTATGCAGCCGTGTTGAGGTAAAGCTGGTAAACAGTTCAGAGAGCTGAAAAGGCCACGGTGGCATTAAATACAAGCTTACATGAGAGAGTTTTGAGGAGATTGCAGTCAATTCAGTCTGCAGTCTTGAGAAATGTTAAAATAAAACCTGTTTCTTTAATTAATGTAGTATAGTACAAGAAGAAAAATGACAGTACAGTATACAGTAGTGCATTACAGTACAGTGACTAAACATGGATGAATCACTGCTAAATAAAACAAATAGAGCACCCTTCTTTCTATTTTATTTTCGCACCACGGAAAAGATTCACCCCAACGTGATAACGACCTACATTGGCTTAACCGTAAAAACACAGCACAGCAGTTTGACTGAATCATCAGACTTTGCAAACAACACAAAAGACAAAAGAGTGGCCACATTTACTGCCAGCATATTTCTCTGAAGAAAAAATAATGTACAAACTTGAAAACAGTGAGAAACAATAAAACAATCATTCTCAGATTTCATTACCATGAAGGGTTATACAGGAAATAGACGTCTTTGATAATTTGGTGTCATCATGTTTTGGAAGTTTGTTTCCCCTGTACACATTCATCACACTTAGCAGACATCTTAATGGCTTCAGATGACTACAAGCCTCTTTTTCTAAAAATGTTTCTAACAAACCACAGTCAAAAATGTTCACTCTTTCTGTCTGTTTTGACCTACCTAAATACCATAAGGATGTCATATAGGAGAATGTGTACCAGAGAGTTGTTATACAGTCATAGAAAAGGATTTAATAATCTGCTTGGTACATCTTTGCATGTTTTTGTACTCTCACACTCTCTCCCTGCTCGGTCTTCCCCAAAGCCAGTCCTGAAAATCACAGCAGTGGGGATTATTTAAGGAAACTGTCTGGCTGCCACTGCTGCCATCTGCCTCCTCTGTCCATCCTCCTGCACCCCTCGCCCCCATCTCACTGCCTTCTCCAGCGATTCTTTGGTTTCTCCTCACACTCAGGACCCTCACAGGTGCCAGGGAGAGGAGGCGGGGGTGTAGGTGCGGCCTTCGCTGGGGCAGGCGTGTCTGTGGCCTTGCTGACGCTGCTGAGCAGAGCCGGGAGCTCGTGTGAAATGGCCCTCTCTATCTTCTCCAGCAGACAGCCGCCGGTCCAGCTGCAGTGAGAGGAGAGCTGCTTGAAGCTGGAAACCGGGTTCACACCGAAGAAGTCCTGGTAGGCCTCCTTGTTGGGCAGGTCGAACTTGCTAACATTGGTTTTGGCTAGAATAGATTTGAAGATGTAGTACTTGTCCGGGTCGTTGACGATGTCTTGAAACACCTCGTAGGGGTCGCTAAACCAGCCCAGCTTGTCATAGTAGGTCTGGAGGTAGCGGTCCACCAGCAGGGCGTGGATGCGCACACGGATGCCATGCTGGCGGATGAAGGCAATCTTGTTCTCCATCTGATTCTCAATCACCTGCAGGGGAGTAGAGGGAGAAATGAGAGGAGATGGAGGGAGAGAGAAAGTATGAACAGACAGAAACTCTGAATTATTGTCAACATTATTGTGAATTTATCTCAGAGACCTCAGGAGTGTACTGAACTCTGATGGTGACGATGCAATTACCAAATCCATTTCTCGCTATCTTAGGTCAAGGAATCAAATTGTCAACAAAACTGAGTCAAGAAGTCAGACCTGGTTGAGGTCCTCCAGCAGAGAAGTCTCCTCCTTCATGAAGAGCTCTCGGCTGGTATCCTCAGCGTAGTCCTGTTGCCAGAAAGAGCTGACGTACACCCGAGGGGGCTCTGTGACGTTGATCAGGGGCGCCATGCTCCAGAACAGTGCTCCGTAGACCCTCATCAGGTCCTGGGTGGACAGACTGTCAGCCTTGTTGAGGATGAGACGAATCTGGGACTCGCGGCCCTTCATCTGCCTGAAGAGCATCTCCAGCTCCCCACCCACGTCCAGCTTGGTGGGATCGAACACCAGGAAGATCAGATCCGCTCGATCGATGAACCACTGGCACACCTCACTGTAGGGGTAACCTGAGGGAGAGGAGGGTGGGCATACGATACATAGTAAGATAAATGTTTTAGTTATTTCAACATTTCAAATATGAAAAGCTTTCTTTGAGAGTATTTTTTGTTAACACAAACAGGTCAGACACATGTTGTCGATGGGATTAGCACATGTAGCGCAGAAAAAAACATTATATGCATTTTAGCCCAATAATCTACAAGGAAACCTTTGATTTGACACAAATAGATGTGTTAAACAGGATTGATACACACACTTTTAATTACTCTGCGTCCCTTGTGTTTTGTACAGAGCTTAGTGGTAAACCTGTCTGTGAAAAATGCATCATAAACCACCGTACAACGTTAATAATTGATACATTACATATTGTGGTTGTGGTAAGTGTGTGTGTGTGTGTTTACATTGATTGCAGGCTTATTAGACTGCCTGCCAGCCTACCTGCCTTTCTGTGTGTCTGTGTGTGTGTGTTGTATTGATACTGAGTGTTGTGGTAATCACTGTCTAATGATACTGATGTCTGTTTGATGTTGTAGATACTGTTGTACCTACACTGAAAACACACTCTACTGTGCTTCCCCCTGACCACAGCTATTACAGTTTGATTTTATGGGTTTCAATGGAAAATCTGAGCGTCATAGATGTTTAATCAGAAGCTGGTCCGTTCTGATAGAGGACACTTTTTAGCATGACACAAACAAAAGACAGCTTTGATATGAAAATATTTCCATTAGTAACCTCTCTCCTGCTGCTTGCGGTTTTCAATAATGCCGGGTGTGTCGACGAAGGTAACCGTCTCCAGCAACTTGTGGGGCATCTCGATGCCCACCAACCGCTCGAGGAAGCCTTGGCCGAACTTCTCCAAGGGGGAGAAGGACCGGGAGCTGTCTGCTGCCATTACGATGCCCTCTATGGTCCGAGTCTTCTCACCGTGCATTATGACTGTGTACTCTGAGGTGGTGGGCTCAGCACCTGATGGACAGATGAAGACAGAATGATTTAACACTTATTTGTTAGTTGTCATGGTTTGATTCATTTTTGTGTGTGATGCCCCTCCCACTGCCTTGGAGGCAGGCCAAATTCACCAGGCAATAGACCTTTTTTGTAGCAGCCTTTTGACATGAAATAGTAGTGTAAACACAGGTGTGATTATTAACTATTAAAACACACAATATTATATTCCTGCCAATAGATCCTCCTACATGTTACACACTAGACCTTTGAGTACAATTTTGAGGTATTTATACTTTACTTGAGTTTTTCCATTTTATGCTACTTTATACTACTACTCCACTAAGCTACTACATTTCAGAGGGGAATATTGTAATTTTCGCTGCACTACATTTATATGACAGACATACTTACTTACTTCAGACATAGACTTACTTACAAGTTACTTTGCAGATTCATATTATTTAAATAAAATATAATCAACAGATAAATCCTGCTGTAGTAGCATAGATTTAGCTACCCAGCAGTATATAAACTAGTTAAAGTTGTCTCCACCTTTACCCACAATATTAATGTGACGCTTACATATGAATGCATCAATAATTATAATCCAATAATAGTACTTTTTACTTTTGTTACTTTGGGTAATACTTGAACTTTGAACTTTTACTCATGTGAAATTTGGAAGTCATGATCTTCATCACTACTCTGGTGATTTATACTTATTAAATCGGTTGATCGCTGTGCCTGTTTTTTGTGCTCTCACTGACGAGCTACTCCACAATCAATCATTCAGGTTTTATCAGTGCAAACCTGTGTAGAGTCCCTGTGAGGTGCCGTGCAGACCCAGCAGGTAGTTGATCATGGAGGACTTGCCAACGCTCCATGGCCCCAGGAATAAAACCATGGGCTTAGAAGTGATCTCGCCATCTACACAGTTGAAAGACAGACATGAGAGAAGGTTTGAGAAAGAACCAAAATAGCAAAATTTGCTTTGGGAAAAAAAGTTGTATCATAAATATATATATATAATATCTTATATCATATTGTTGAATATTGGATCCTAATTCATTATATTTGATATTTCAAACAGCTCACAAGTGCATTGTGTTCATAATTTTTTGACCAAAGCAGAGCTATGGTTGCTGGCCTGTAAAGATATCCCTACATCTAGTTGTTTTTGCCATAATGTTAAAGGACTGTGATGCTTATGAGTCCGCCGATCTCCTGGTTCCTCAACTTCTCTCAGCAAGGACTGACTAAAACACTATTATACTACTATTATATACTATATTCTGCATGAGTGTTCATGGTATCAAGTATTTTTTTTTTTTAGCAATACATTTTCCCTGACATTTTCCATTCTGCACCACAAGGGGTCCTAGAGTCACATGGTACAGTCTGAAGTCTTAATATACTCCCTCCCCTCAAGCACGATGGAACAAAGTTGTAGAGAGTCTGGCCCACATAACATTCCCTTTAATTTTCAGCAGACAGAGTCCTTATTGTGCCTCTCTGTGTGCCTGGTTTGAATAATGTCAGGTCCTGGCTCTATTTCTTCTTAATTATGACTTTGTTTGTACTTTGCTGTTTCTGTGCAGCTCCGGTTTATTAAACCATGTACTGTATGGTGTGGTTGATAACTGATAAAGGTGGTTGAGAGCTGTGAAGTGATATGTTTTTGGTTGATAGTAATGTTGGCTATATATGGCTATATATATTTTAACATGGCAATTCATTGTTGGAAAAAGAAAATGGTAAATCAATATCAGACGCCATGCAGAATGACAATATTTTCATATTTTACAGTGCTTGTTTTATTCAGCTTGGTGCCAGAGTTGTGGTGTCTGGCTGACATTCACAACAAAATGTTACGGGGAAAGATTTGGAGTTACCACATTGTTTTTTTTTTTTTCATTTCCAGTTTTACATCTGAACTAAACCACAGTTAAAGGACCAGTGTCGCCTTCCAAGTGTGTAGGAGAAACAGTGGCTGTGAAACTCTATTTAGAGCCAGTGTTTGGTTTGGTTCTGGGCTACTGTAGAAACATGACTGTTCAATATGGTGGACTCCTACTCCATTTGACCTTTAATGTCATAAATAGACAAAACCGTTGCTGATATGGGCCTGCAAAGAGACTGCTGAACAAACTACTGTTAATGCTTCTGTGCATGCTGTTGTATCCAGGTGTAAGGCCCAACAGGAAGCTGATTTACCTGTGACTTCATGCTGCCTGAGCTCATTGTACTTGAAGGCTTGCTCCATTGGTTTGATGGCAGTGTGGTAGATGTTCAACAGCTTCTTCATAGCAGCTAAAAAAAAAAAAAGAGAGTAATAATTGGGATGTAATGGCGAGAAGACATTTTGGACAAGAGTATTATTAATGTTCTTGCTACCATTACTGATTACAACAATTTCTTTGGCAGTCCATGATGAATCGCCCACATAAAGTTTATTGAATCGAGCTGAGGTGATTAAGAGACTGGCTCTGCTGCAGCACTTTGGCCTCTCTGAAATGAACCAATCTGGTTTAAGAGAACAGAGGGGCTTTCATGCAGAGGACAGAGTTACACTTTTGCACTGATTAATCACCTGCCTCTAGACATGTCTGCACTCTCACACAAGTACACAAACGGGTATATGCACGCATACAGTACACACACTCACGCCTAACAGCCCCAGGACCTAGACATCATGAAGCAATTTTCAGAATAGTTTCAGCAGAAAAGCCCCTCAAAAACTGTCTCAAACTTCCTTTCATTCACATGCAAACACATCTGTTTTTCTTTTCCATGAACAAAGTAGCTGTAAACATTATGCTGCATTTTGATTTCAATACAGAACTTCAGGCATTTCTGCAGCATACAGCTGAGAGACATTTGAAACAGTGGGCAGCAGGGAAATGCTTTATGTCCTTTCACTGCAATAAATCAGTAATTCTTTGAGACATCTTGTTCCTCACCTGAGAACTCTGCTGAGGGTTCAGCAGTAGCCAATCGCAGTGTGTCCTCGATGTGGGAGCGGTCCCTCAGTGCCTGGCCTGTTGGCACCTCTTTCTTGTGTTCTACATGAAGGATCAGACTGTCAGTCAGCTGTTACGGTCAAAAGCCCTGCCATGTATTTACCCGTGACTGTATAGTAGTGGTGGAATTTAACTGTAAGTTAGATAGGTCTACTTCATATCTTTTAGAGATATGTGGTTCTCATAGGACAGCAACACTACAAACATATGATAATCTTTTAGAATATGATGCACTGTTGTAAATTAAACCCAACAGTACATAAAGTAGTTCAAATAAACTATAAACAACTATTGCAGTAAAATGCAACATTCACACACAATGCAGCAATAAAAACATCTTATATATAATAGTAAAACATTTTTTTCTGCAGAATAAGTGACTTTTTCAGTGCGAGATGCGTTCAGTACATTTTGCTGATATATTTATATAGGCTACTTTTGATTAAAGCAGCAATAAGGAACTTTCATTTTTGGTTGATTTGTGGCAGCACCTGTGATAAAAAGCAGTAGTGTTCCCACAGCCTTGTTTCATTGATTTCAAGGGGAATACAATAGGGAAAGATAGAAATATTTTCACTGATCTGGTTTGTTTATGTAGATCATATAAAGACATCAGTATTAAATTAGGACTGTTTCATAACCAGTTAAAAACTCCTTGTAGTAGGTTCAAGTAAGGTTGCAGGAATACAGGAGTTTTACTTGTATTGAGTATTCAAACAGTGGTAGTATTAGTACTTTTACTTAAACTCCCCCTCCAATCAAAAATATGTTTTTCTTTTTGTTCCTACAGTTTGATGTTTGAGCTTCACTGTGCAGAGATTGACAAAGGATGTTTTTAAATTCATCTGCTGATAGTGGAAAGTTTCTTTGTGCTTATTAAAAATCAGATTTTACAAGCATGATTTGTGATCACAAACAGTTTGGAGATGAATCCTGGTCCAGTATGCAACTTATATAAGTATACTTAAACTTAGAAGTGTGATGAAATCTGAAGCCACCAATGCACATACACTGAGAATGGACTTTACAGTGAAGTAGAAGAAGAGAATTTTTAATCAGGTAGTAGGAGTTGATAATGTGGCAACTATATTTTCTTTTGCAGAAGAAACATTTCAGACACACATTATTGTTCCAAGCAGACTATTTGTATACATGTCTGCAGTTAAGTAAATGATCTGAATACTTCTTGTACCACTAGAAAGTAATGCTTAATCTGACACAGATGGCTGGAAAAACAATTTTATGACATACAGTGAAGATCAATGAGACTGAGACTGAATGTCATATCTGTGAAATTAAATCACATTCTCTTATCCCCTAAAGAAAAGAATGATGTAAAAAGCTGATGTGGTTTCAAAATAAATGTCCTCCTATAGGTGAATGGTTTCCCAAGTTGTGAGTGACCAGGCTATCTGAGTTTAGCACAGGCCCAACTGTTATATCATGCTGTCCGTCCATCTGTCTATTTCTTTTCCTCTGCTATTTTGGTTTACTTATTTTTGGACCAGAGCTTGTTGCTAATTCCCCTTTAGCTACACACAGTGTCATATTCTGGAAGTTCGGCATGCCCGAGAGAGAAAGAGAAGCAGATAGAGATCTTTGCTGTCATTTTATGACCCATCAAAGTTGGATGCCCTGTGAAACAAGACTCATATTTCCAAATAGAATCTTGGAACCACTTTCTAATAAGGAATACTTTATATCAAGCTTTAGACATGGTTAGTAAATGATGTATGAACTATTTATAAGGCAGTAATTAGCCTATTTTTGTTTTGACAGGTTGTGAAAAATCCCTTCTGGATGGTGTCTATCCTCCTCTATAATGAGTTATTAATAAATACATTTTGGTTCAGATGCTGTGCAGCTCATTTGTGGTCAAATAGTTTATTAGAGGGGTCTTTAAGGTGAATTAAAGTGCTAGCTTCAAAGACAAAGCTAATTATACTAGATAAGGATAGACACCAGTTGCAGGGGGTTCGCGCTATGGGGCAACCCAAAACCTGTCCTTATTAATGCCCTTTTAAAACTTGTATGAATGATTTATCAACCATTGATAAAGCCATTAATTACAACTTAGAAACAGCTAAGAAAAAGCTTATATACCCTATTAGAGAGCAGTTACAAATCCTTAAACAATCTTGATTTGAAGTTTCCAAAGATTGTTTTTGTGCTCCGCTGTTTCTCTCCTTTGTGAGGTATTATTCTTGCTTTTGGAAAAACTGTGTTGTATTATCACTGTGGATAATGGAATAAAACCAAAAAATGTGACACTGCTCATGCTATAAATGAACAGCAGGCTTTTCCTGACTGTTGAAATCATTATTGTGGATATCCAAGGAATTTTCAACAACCCAATCAAAACAGAAACATAAAACAACCTCCACTGACACTTGCACTAGTGTATTGACTGAAGTGATGCAGAGTGTGACGGGAAACTCTTTTAAGACTCCGCCATCATCCTTTATAGCAGGTGTCAACACCCAGACACCAGATAATGGCATGCTTCCTTAATTACAGAAGCACTGACTGTATGGGAACAGATTTACTGTAACAGGATCCCTCCTGCTCTACTTGTCGCTGCTTGGACTGTCTGACAGAACGAAGGCAAGACATCAACCTCTGGTGTAAGTTACCTTCTGCTGCAGCTTCACTTTTGAGATGACAGGAGATTAACTTAAATGCTATGTAAAGTTAGACATACTATAAACCAAGATGGTGTCATCTTTTTGTACCTTTGGTTTGAGGCTCCTCTGCAGTCACCTCCTCCACTGTTGCCTCCTCAATGGCATCTACAGATGCCTCCTCCACCACAGTCGCCTCCTCCACAGTGGTTTCCACTGATTCCTCCTCCACAGCTACATCCTCTATAGATTCTGGTGTGACCTCCTCCACAACAGGCTCTGGATCCACTTCAGGGATGACCTCTGGTTCTGGTTCAGGCTCTGGAATCAGCTCAGGCTCTGCAACTACTTCAGTCTCTGGCTCTGCAGTATTCTCTGGTTCTGATTCAGGCACTGGCTCTGCTGTCACGGTTTGAGTAGGTTCTTCCTCTTCTGGTTCTGATTCAGGCTCTGGCTGTTCAGTCACCTCTGGGTCTGAAATTACTTCAGGCTCTGGCTCTGCAACCACTTCGGCCACTGGCTCTGCAGTCCCCTCTGGTTCTGATTCAGGCTCTGGTTCTGATTCAGGCTCTGGCTCTTCAGTCTCTTCTGGTTCTGAAATTACTTCAGGTTCTGGCTCTGCAACCACTTCGACCTCTGGCTCTGCAGTCCCCTCTGGTTCTGATTCAGGCTCTGGTTCTGATTCGGGCTCTGGCTCTTCAGTCTCCTCTGGTTCTGATTCAGGCTCTGGTTCTGATTCAGGCTCTGGCTCTGCAGTCTCCTCTGGTGCTGATTCAGGCTCTGGTTCAGCCTCAGGTTCTATTTGAGGAAGCTCTACCGGTTCTGCTTCTGGTTGAGATTCAGCCACTGCAACCTCCTCCTCAGCAGCGGTAGCTTCCTCCTCTGCATCCTCGTGTGTAGAAGTTTCCACACTTTCCTCCTCAGCAGCTGCCTCTGCTTCATCAACTGTTTCTTCAGCTTCAGCAGCAGGTTCGTCCTCTTCTGGAACTTCTTCTTGAGGTTCAGTCACTTCCTCTTCCTGATGGGATAACTCCTCCTCTGCTTCCTTCTCTCCTTCGTCGATTTTCTCCTCCTCTTCCTCAACCTCAGCTACCTTCTCGTCGTCTTCAGATAATGCAACCTCCTCATCTATCTCTTCCACACTGTGATCCTCCACTGACTCAGCCTCCTCCTCAGATGTCACCTCCTCTTCTTCTACCTCCTCCTGCACTTCTTCTCCATCACTTGTTATCTCCTCAGTGGAAGTGTCCTCCTCCCCAGGAGCTGCTTCCTCCTCCTCCACCTCCTCATGCTCGGAGGTGGAAGCTGGCTCTTCAGTATCTGAAGATGATGGCGGTTTGGTGCAGGGCTGGCACATGGCCCTCTCCGGGGCTGGAGTGTCATTGGAAGAGCTCTGGCTGGCATGCTCTTCTGTTGTGTCACATCCACAGGAGAAGAGGTCTCCCTCTGGCTGCTGGAGCTGCAGACGCACCAGAGGCTCCTCATCGTGGATAGAGGAACCTGCAAGGAGGTCTAAGAGGAGAGGACAAATGATGAGACAAGATAACTCTCTGTGTTAGTGTCTCTTTACAAATACATTTCAAACATTTGAATGTATGAAAGTATTTGCACTGTTTTAGACAAAGACAAATAAGATCTTGGAGTAAAATGTAGAGTTTAAAACTAATGAGAACACCAAAAATGTTCAGAAATTAATTTAAATTCACTTATTTGTTTCTTGGCAAAACATGCACGGCAATAAGATTACATAAAATGGGTGCCTGGTTAGCTCAGTG